CAGCAAAGAGAGAGATCAGCTGGCCTAGTGGACAGAAAGTGATGCTACCAAGCCAAAGGTGGGTGACTTTAATCCGCGGGTCTTCAGGACTGTTTTTAATTGGTTGTGGTCAAACATTCTTCTAGGTCGTATAGCCTGGTGTGTCCACTTGCTGTATAGAGGTAACGTGTGGTGGTTGTGAAGTTGAGCACTGTGACACTGATGTACCAAATGTGATAATCACCCACAAGCAGGTGATACTTAGGCGGCAGGCTCAGGATTTGGCCAGCAGCTGGAAGGGGGACAGAAGCTGTGGTTGCAGGGCCCAGGCTGCTTTTGTGACTCCTAAGGTGTATGAAATGGGGAGGATTCCTGCGTACGTTCTGCTCACTCCTTCCCTCGGGCGCCACAATGGCACTCAGCCACCGCTGTCACCACCAGTTCCATTCCTCCACCTCCCCCAGCTGCTGCAGTAACAGCAGTGAGGACAGCCAGAATCCACTGAACTCATATAATGCTGTATGTCACAGGAGGAAGAAACAAAACACTTCCAGGTATTTTTGTAGAAGTAAAACCCTAAGAGAGCCCGTCTTTACTATTAGAACTAAGGAAAAATTTTAAAATGTAAACTAAAAAATTAAGACTAGCTTTAGTCACAAAGCAACACAAAGAATATTGAGAAATAAATTTGACTACACACTTATGCACAAGACAGTTCTGCACTAACCCAAATGTGCAAAAGATAAGTAGACACTTCATAATGGCAATGCCGTGAAGAGATACACATGAATATTAGCCATAAGAAAGGAGAGCTAAGGGAGCTCTGGTATCCTAGTGCCAAGAAGCTGCAGTACAATCCCAGAGGGGTGTGGTTCGAATCCACCAGATGCTGTGCTGGAGGAGGGGCAATCACCTCCTGTACCAGTAAGATCCAATTTGACTGTACAGACAAAATACAATAAATTTTTTTTAAAAAGAAAGGAGTGCTGTCATACCCCAACATTAATGACACTAAAAAGTCTGAAAATGTTGGGAGACTAATATCCACTGGTGACAGGAATGTATAATGGCCTGGCACTTATTTAAAAAGCTCAAAGTAGAAATGCCATATGATTCAGCAATCCCAAAGCTAGGTATTATATGAAGAGGCATATGCATACCCATTTTCACTGCAGCATTATTCACAAAAGAAGACAGGAAGAACCTAATGCCCAGAAATTTATGAATAGCAGAAATGTGATTTTTCCCCCCCAATGTAAAGAAGGGCTGTGGTATCAGTGATATTGTTCAATAATTTCCACATATCAGATCACCTTTTTTTTAACAGGTATAAATATGGATCTCTTCCAGTCAGATGGCCAGGTAGCTGTCCTCCAGTTTTCTTGGCACCTGGTGAGCACATGCAGGGCAGCATCTGTTTCTTGAAATATGACAGATGGTATTCCATCAATTCCTGGAGCCTTGTTCTTTGCCAACTCCATCACTACTGCCTTTCAGTTATATGTTGTTTCATGAAATTATGTGTCAGCCATTTGTTTTTTGTATGTTGTGGTTATGTGCCATTGAGTTCCCTGCAATTCATAGCAACCCTATGTTTAGTAACTGTGAATCCTGCCTTATCCTGAGTCACTCTCACTGATTCCAGCACACCTTACCACATGATTTATAATGTGAATACATTTCATCTGGGGTCTTCTCTCCTGTTGTATCCCTCCACCCTTTGAAGTATGATATCAGACTGGTCCCTCCTGGCCACATGTTCCAAATATGTGAGAGCTTCAAAATCCTTACCTCCAACAAGAAACTTGGTTTCACATCCTCCAAGACAGACTGATTTGTTCTGCTGCCTGTCCGTGTATATTCAGTACTGTTCTCCAGCACCACAACTCAAAGACTCTCATCTATGTCACTCATCTATGATATATAGCATTTAACTGCAAAGACCATGGCCTGGATCAGGTGTACCTTAGTCTCTAGACTGACATCATTGCTCCTTAGCACTCTGGAGAGGTCCCTGACAACACTTACCTGATGCAATTCATCTTTTGATTTC